TCTTCGAGGTTTGCTTTGGAATAGTGCCAGTTATCATTTCCCATTAGGGCAAATATTGCATCAAACTCATGATTAGGGATTTGAGGGCTTGGGAATATCATTCTCTAACATTTGTCTTTAATTTTCAAAGTCTTTTTCTCTCTCTTTGTACACACACATATGCACACATGCCTGCATATCTGTGGATATACATATGTGTATATATATTTATAGAGAAGAAAGAGTATGCTGCATGTGCCTGATTACACGGGTAGGTTTACATGTATGTATGTGTCTATTTGCATGTAAAGTTTAAACCTTGTCTCCCAGACAAAGGAAAAGGGAAGAGCATTCTCCTTGTGTGCGATTTCAGAGGACTCGGAAGGTTAATAAAGGAGAAGAATAACAGATTTGTTTGTATGTTTTGGGTTAAATACTTCAGTTTTGCAGAGAAGGAAGGTGTTAAGAACACACACTGTGAGCGTGGAGATGAAGCCACTGCTAGGGAGCTGCTATCAGTTTTACCGACCCTACAAAACTGGGGAACAACACTGCTTAATTTTTCAGTGTGCCTTTTATGGTATCTTTTCTATTACCTTTACCTGTACATATATAGCCACTTCATGTCTAGCACATCTCTTGAATAAAGTGGCAAAAAATATTACATTTCTAGAAATGAACTATTCTGCTGTATGAACATATGCTGCACCACCTATATTGAAGAACAATATAAATACTTGGGGTCTGATTTGGACATCCTGAATCACTAAAGGTGCCCATTTATCTTGGTTAATTGTGGCCTAAATGTCCGGAGGCAGACGAGAGACTGTGCTGGACATGAGCACTGATTGAGGCTTCTGGCGTCTGGGTTTTGGCTTAATCTATCTCTTCCCTTGCTTACCTCCCAACGCTTAGGCACTTCTGAGATGTTCCAAAATCTTTCCAGCTGCCACCTATTTCTGATGCTGGCTCATAAAACCCAACACCCGCTTTCAGTACCTAATTTAGGAGGATTTTTGCAGAATATATTTTTTTCCTGGTAAAACTTTGCTTACTCCTGGCCTGGGGGAAGGCATGTTACAGGTGGTTCCCCCCACCAGGTGCTCCTGTGGGAATGGGAATTGTGGCGACGCCTGGGGTCTGTGGTCCCCTCCTCCACTGCCCTCCTGACCCCCCCCCCCTCCCAAAAAAGGGTTCCCGAGAGCCAGGCACCATCCTACTTCACACCCGGCAAATCACTTAACCTCTCAGCACGTCGACTTTCGCAGCTGTTAACACGGGGAATGGTTTTATTTCGCCTCCTCTCGTAAAGAGCATTGCGGCTCTGATCGACCCGAGGCCAAGCATTATTTCCACTTACAGATAAGTTGGATTTTGGCAGCTGGTGAGAGGGAGGCAAGCACATTCATCTGGGTAAAATCCCCTGGCTGGAGAAATAGCCAACGGGGAAGTTTTATAAGGCAGGCACAAAGCAATATCAGCAATATCCAGAGCAAATCTTGTATCGGAGTTGTTATTTTTGCTCTGGCCTGGCAGTGGTCGGCTGGGGAATTGGAGGGTCTGGGAGGAGACTGGAGGAGCGAGCAGCAGAGCAGTGCTGGCCAGCTCAGCTGGGGTGGAGCTGACACTCACAGCACCTGACAGGTTCCTAAATATATTTCCAGGCAGCCAATTTGCCTCCAAAAAATTTATTCTTCAAGGCGTGTTCCCATCTGCCAAAAGAAAACATGTCATTTATAAAAAAAACCCCGAAAATCTAACACTGACAGACACGAGTCCATCATTGAGCCACAGCCCTCTGCTTTTACCTGAGCCTAGTGCCGGAACTGAGTGGGGAGACAGCCCTGTCACCCACTTGCTTTATTAAGAGCCAGCTTTTAATTGTTCTTTTCCCTTTATTCACAGTTCACCCTTTATTTTTTTCCAATAAATACCACACTTACTTCATTAGAATTTCTGCAAAAAATGAGCCCAGGCAAAGTGACTCAGTCAATGTGCAGATGAAATACAATGTCATCTCTTTTCCTGCTCCTAGTACAATAACTGTAAGTTAAAATCACTACAGCAATTTTAGTAATTTATACTGTAATCCAGACTGACAAACTTGACTCTGTATTTCTAGCTCTGCCCTGCTTCTTCTGCCCTCCCTTCCTGAAAATAGTCATAATCCCCCCATGGGAAAGCTTTAAGTTGAGAAAAGGTACAGTAAACTCCCAGTTATTTTAGAAGTCTTTAAGTGATTAAGGCAAAAGGATGGTTAATTATAATATTCTAAAAACACAGCTGCTAAAAAAAAAGTTTCCAGCAGCCACCAACTTATTATTTTGTCATCATCTTAGACATACTTATGACATATGGGAAAAATAAAAGATTAAATCTCCTTCCCCAAACTGCCCCCACAGCCACGCAGTCCTGGAACAAGCAACATCTTCTGAAAGAAGGAGGCTTGGTCTGACTCCCTGCCAGTGTGCGCAGAGGCGGCTTCCAGCCCCATGTTCACTTTCACAGCCTTGAAAGCTGAATCTTCTGTGGGGTTTGCAAAACATCAGCTGGGAAAACTGTGGCTAAATCAAGAGCAACCACAGTTTGCCAGGGAACAAATATCCCAGCTTTGGCCATACCAATCTTCTGTGCACTCCCGCTCATGTTTTCATTTCTCACACACCATGGAAATAGAAAAGTCATTGCCGGTATTTCCAGTGGGGCTGAATTATGGAGCCCCATAAACATTTTCACTCTGCCTCAGCAAAGAGCAGCAGCCTTCTCCCCATGCCCACATTGTTGAGGCTACCTCAAAAATAAACCTGCCTACAAGAGGAAACCACAATAGGTTTCCCAGAGGCGGATGGTGCCTTGGGTGGGGAAAAGATTTTATATTGCCAGACTCTCCATATGTCAAGGCCAAAGTGAGTAAGGAGCCCTTGGTGTGGTGTGGCACCCAGGAAATTATTGTCAGCAGTGTTATTTATGCTGATGTTCTTTAAAAAAATCACCCACCTCATTTTAAAACTACAGATCAAGCAGGATGGCTTCTAACTTATGATCAAGGTGGAGACTGATGAGGTAACCAGAGACGCTCAAATGAAAAGTAGATGTTGCTTCAAACACTAACCAGAAGCTATGGTCATATAAGTGTCACAACAGTGTCTGTGGAGGCTTGGTGGGAGACCAGACTTTCTATGAGTAAGGTCTGATCATCCTCTTATTGCAACCAAGCCATAAGCATTAACCTTCGTGCTGCAGCAATGTACCAGTTATACATACTGCAGTATCATTTATTTTAGTTCTATGGGAGGCAGAGACCATGGCTGTGATGGTGTTTGTACAAAGCTCTGGTAAAAGAAACCATCCACACTGGGAGCACAGCAGTGTCCCTCATTTCCTACTGTGAGCATCAACTATTGTGATATGGGAGGAAAGAAGGCATGCCTGCCCACTAAAGAAACACTTCCAGCTCTTTGCAGAGAAATGTCATTGGCATTTAGAAAAATACTGGCCCATGTTGGTTCCAAACCTTCCAGATCTGTCTGTGGCACATCTCAGAGTGCTGGCATTGCTTGGCATTGCTTCGCATAGCTGCCCTGGCAGTGCTGGTTCTGCATAGGGGCTGACAAGTGCCAGTGCTGCAAGTGGCTCTTATGACACCCCAAAATACAGGATGTGCCTGTGTGTGCCTTTCTTCCAGACGTTCTTTCCTCCAGTGTCCCATCACCATGGGCTGAGCGCTCACAAATAGAGCTGATGGTGCTTGTCACTGAGATTTGCAGCTTGAGTTTCAGGACAAAGGGAAGTTTGGGCACCTGGGAAATTACATCCATCCTGAAGCTAAACATGTGCAAATTCTTGAAGTGTGAGTGTAATGGAAACTTAGGGATTCCTGTACATGGGTGTGTACATACCAGGGGTACCTGGCGCAGCTCATGCAATGCAGAAAGCCTCTCTACAGTCTCCCAGTTACAGGAAACCATTCCCAAAACTTGCTAGAAAATGTCTGCAGGAGGATGTGAAGCACGAACTGGGGTAGCAGCAGGATGAGGAGCGGTAACCCACCTTCTCTGCCAACATGTTTTTACCCATACCTGCCACTCTCCAACCTTTTTATCCTGTGGAACAGCTGGGATGTCATACACATGCACCAATGTGTACAAGCTTGGTGTCACAGCCGTGCCACCAGCTGGCCACCTCCCTGGAGCTGAAATCCAGCTACATTGAGCACCGGGGTAATTCCCTAGGGCAGGAAATCGTCTGATCCCTCCTCTCCACTCTCTGATACCACTTGTTTCATGAAAATTGTACATCAAAGTGGCTGTAGCAGCAGAGTGGGGTGGTGCCTTACCCCAAAGCCACTCAGAGCTTCTGGATCAGGACAGTAACAGCAATAACACCATCAGAATTGCTCTTATGGCCTCACAGGGCTGCAAAGCCCACCAGCAGCTACCTTTGGGCTCACATCAGTGCAGGGAGAGGTGTGCTGGCTTTCTGCTCCTCACGAAAACACCTGTCTGCACTCAGGAGGTTTTCCCACTACTTCCCATGAAAGGCTCATCCAAACATCTTTATTTCATCATAGCTTGTGTTAAGTCAGTATAACACAGACCAGCTTAAGTTTATAGCACTGTTTTTTATAGAGGAGCATTTATTTCTTGTATCAACTCTCAAGGATGTTTTATCTGTTTTATATCCCACTGAATCCTCTGTGAAACTGCACTAGTTTACAATAATTTTATTACTTTATTAATTAAACGTTTTCCAACAAGCTAGCTATGGCATTTCTTATCATCAAGGGTTCCATTAGTTTTTAATGGTGTGAGACAAAATTACCATTTACCCACATGCAATTTAAAAAGCATCATTAACGCAGAGAAAGCACCAGGTGGGATTTCTAATAGTTACTGTTTCTCATTTTTGTTTTTATTTAAAAGAAATAACTGGTTTTGAGGTTTTTGCTGCAAGGTTGCCAAATCCTCACTTTATTTTTTATGTTCAAGATAATTTAAAATAATGTTCTTCTATCTCCTTAGGCTCTTCTCCACACTATTTCCCTTATCAGCACATCGCATGGTTGCGTACGCAGTGTCTCGGTGCAGCCGGGTGAGTGTGTTGTCTGCACAGTAATCACCAAGAACAAAGACTCATCTGCACGGTCAGTGAGCAGGGCTGGGGGGCCGTGTGTGCACATGTGCTTGAGACACTGCCTGGCTTTGCAGGGCTGTGGCAGGAGGGATCTGAGCCAGTGCAAGCCCCAAACCACACGCAGCGCCCACCTTGTGTGGCTCAGGGCCCACAGGCACTGGTCACTGGGTCCCACAGGAGCCATCCCAAACACAGGAGAGTGGGAAGTGCTCCTCGACCATGCTTATCCACAGCATCAGGGACCAGCACCATGAGGACAGGAAGTGGCAACCTGCCTTTTAAGTTCTTGAGAAACTTTGACACAGTTTGATACTTCGATAGTGGTGCTCCTTGCCAAAGACAGGGAAAATCCTACAATTGTAGTAAATATTTATCTTAAATGAAATGAGAATAATTACATGGCACTTTCATTGCTATATTCTATTCAATTATCCTGACTATTAACTAATTGCTGACTCAGTCCATTTACATGTTAATAAATGTCTATGTTTAAGGTCCTCCTTGGTTAATTTTCTAGGTTTAAGGATACGGAATTGCTGGTCTTTTTTTTCCCCATGAACTCATTGCTTTGGTTACTTCTGTGACCTCCTGCTGCCATGTGTGGCTGTGGGTGGTGCAAACCTTCCCCTGGCCATGGGCACGCGGTGGGTCCGAGCCGGGGCCTTGCCAGTGAGAAGGAGTGCGAGGGTCCAGATGGTGCACGATCCCATGAACCGCTGAGCGCGAAGCGCGCGGGAGGGTGTTAGGGATATTTAGTGGGATGTGTTTGACAAGGTGTTTCCTTATTTAAAGGGGAGGGGAGGAAAAGGCAGATGGTGTGGCTGTTTCTAATGACATTCCCTGGCTGGGTTTTTTAACAGCAGACATGAGAGGGGCATAAGCACCTGACGCGCCTGTCTGCTTGGATGCTGGGAGGGAAGGGACGCTGACAAAACTGGTCCCACCACCACGCTGTTACCTGTTCTGCCTGTTCTTATTTAATATGCCAGGGCGCCTGGTGAGGCTGATGGAAGGGTCTGTCCTGGGCCAAAGTCCCCAGAGCCACTGGTGCAGTGTTTACCATGTCACTTTGTCACATCACAGCCACACAGCTTGGGGAAACAGCACTTTCCCAGAACCCCACCACCCCTGTTTTACTTCCCTGCATCCTTCTCCCTCCAGCCTCATCCTGTCTTATTTTCCTGCTCTCTGAGCTCTCTTCTTGCCCAGGTGGCTGTGCTGTCACTGCCAGCACTGTGTAGATCTTTCCCACTGCAGGCTGGAGCTGCTGCATGCCTGGTGGCCTCCTGGAAGCACCTGGGGCAATGCTCTGGGTGGGAGAAGGGAGGTTGCAAGTGGTGTTTTCCTCTTGGAGGTTTATAAGCATGCTACAATCAGAAGTGGTCTGATATTTTTGTATGCTTAGGAAGTTCTATTAAAATAGAAACAAATGCTGAATTTCCTAAGTGGGCAGATAATTGTTCCATGATGTAGAGTAAACAAATGCACAGAGATGTCCTCTGCTTTAAATGTACACTGCACTGAGCTCCTGGTCAGATAAATTTCTAATTAATTTGCCCGCGCAAGACATGGAACAAAAGCTCTGATTATATATTAGAATAAAAATTGCAAAAATATCTTCCTGCATGCTTCCATATTATCTTATTTCGTGCCTGCAAAGGGACTCTGGGGTGGCCTTCCTGGGGGCGATGGCACTGCAAGCCCCAGTGGGAGTCAGCAAAGAATCCTGCCCCCCCTCAGCATGCCGGGGGTGGGACAGCACCGGCACCCCCGGCTCCCAGCAGGGCCACCCCCGCAGCCTGTGGCAGGATCCCCGCGCCTGGCCCGGCTGGGCGGGCTCGGAAGCGCTGCCAGGCGGGCAGGCGGGCAGCGCAGAGCTGCGGCTGGCACTTTATGCTAATGGCTCAGCCATTATTTATTCCTTTGGAATTCATTACAATCGCATTATTTGCGATCGGCTCATTTAGTGTCGCGAATGCATCCGTAGGATTTTTAAATTGTGACCTAATTAATAATGAATGATTCTGTTTTAAAGCGCCGCCGTAGGCAGGGTTTCAAGGCAGGCGCGAGAGTCGCAGCGAGCGCCGCTCGGCTGCTCCGTGCGCGGCGACAAACGTGCCGGCAAAGGCAGCTCAGCCGCCGTGGCCCCACGGGCAGAGGCCAAGCACGGGCTCTGCGGGCTCCACACACCGCACCCTGGGGCCAGCGGCCCTCGGCCCGCGCGTCCCGGGCAGCTGCACCTCCAGCTTTCTCTCTAGCCAGAGTACATTTATTTTTTGGCGGCAGCAGATCAGAGCCGACTCTCCTACCAAAACCAAAGTTGAGAACTGACCTTGTCTAAAGCAGGAAAAAACTTCAGCTGTGTTTTGGGAAAATTCTGTCTCACTTTTCGTCGACCAGTAATATATTTGGGTATTGTAAAGCTGTACAGAAAGAGAAGATCTTCGCTGACAGAAAATCTTCACTATTTTACTTGAAGTAAATATTTTCTTTGAAGATGGTATTAAAAAAACCCAAAAAACAAACCCAACCCAAAACAAACAAACAAACAAACACGTAACTTTTTTAACATGAAATTTCCAGCAATACATAAAAAGCAATTCTGTTTGAAAGCACTGAAGTTACATCGACTTCTTTAATTTTTTCCCTCCTCAAGAACCTTGGCAATACCCAAAAGAATATAGTCTCTTTTCTCCCAAGGAAGTTCTCACCCAAGTCTTTTGCCAAGACCTACTTTTATGTGAACCCATGTCATCCATCAGCTCCATTTCACACTGACCCTGAGCCTGGGTAAATGTGGCACCACAACATGGAAATGTCTTCATCCTTCCCTGCTCAACACCTCCTTGCTAAAAATGGTTCAGTTCAGCAGCAGGCATGTCAGTTCACACTGATGTCTGGGCTAAGTTCATTCTTAGAGGAGCGGCACAGGGAAGTCCCTGTCCCCTACAAACCCATCTCAGCTGAGCAGGTTGATCTGCACCATATTTTTTTATTTTCACAAAGTCATATAATTTCAAATCTCCCTGTGGAGCAATAAGCAAACTTCAAAAATATTTCCGAAAGCCTATAAATAGTTATAATGATATAAATAATATTTTTGTGAATGCAAACCTACTCCTCTGTTTCCCACAAGCACAACCTGAAGGGTCTGTAAAAGGACAACATGGCAGCTCTAGGTCCAGACACATGGGAACATTTACTGGGAAGCAGCAGCTTCTCCCTTCCTTCCACCCAGGGTATACCCACACACCCCTTGCAGCATTCCAGGGGCTCATCTCCCTCTGGGGTGGTGGGAGCTGGGCACAGCCAAGGTGGTGGGTTTTGCAGCAGGAGCTGTGCTGCTCCCAGAACCCTGGAAGGCAGCACCCAGAGCCACACAGCAGGGAAAAGCCCATAGACAGTAGACAACTTAATGTCAGATTTTTTAAGGCTAAACCAATGAACTTCTTTCTCTTTGTTACAGTGAATACCTACAATTCAGGTAATCAACCTGAACTAACAGCAAAAACTGTGTCTAGTAGTGGGCTAATTTACAGATATAGCTAAAGTTGTGACATGCTATGAATTTTCCTTTATGTAGCCATTGTTTCCTACATTCTGAGAGAATGATTCTCTTGCTCATCCCTCCTGAGAGTTTTAGGTCGGCATAAGACCTTAAATCCTTTATGAATAGCTGCAAGAAAAACACTTGAAATACTTTTGAAATACTTGCTAGCATCAAGTCATAGAACACCTTGTGCTACTACTTCAGGAGCAAATATCCAGCACCAAAAAAAAAAGAAAAAAAAATAAAGGTTGTTTTTTTTTTTTTTTTTTGGAAAGCAAGGAAGGATTGTTAGAAATCTGTGTGACATTTTAAATAGCAAGGGGAATGGCTCCTCATTCACCAACTCCCTTTGCAAAACCTCCCAACAGTGCCATGCCACTGCCAGGTGGGAAGTCCCCTTGGGCAAACAGGACCTCCTGCCTGTGCTGGTGCATGCTGCTGCAGGGCTGGATTCCTCCCACTCATTGCTAGTGGCTTTAGGTCCTTACAGATAAAATTACTGAAGAAAAAGTCCTTTTAGGACTACAAGTAAAAGCCTTTTGTGTCAGAAAGTGGGTAGTGAAAACTCCTAAGTTTGGACGTGCCTGTGCAACTTGCTGCGTTTGGCCATCTGATTCCTCTTCTCAGGTATAATCACTTAGGACAGTCCCACAGCAGCATTTTTATGTAGAGGACATGGGTGCACAGAGATTTTCAAGGAAAGAAATAAATAACTGGAGGCCTGAGTATTTCCTTTTCCTAAGCATTTCAGTGCATGGGAAAGTGAAGGAAGCTCTTAGGAGCATCACTGTCCCACCGGTGTATACAAGAGCTGCCTGTCCCCACCACAGAGGTGACAAAAAGCTGTGTGACAACATCTCTGTCTCTCAGAGACATTACAAAACTAAAATGTGTGTAATAAGGTGCCTTCAAAACCTCAGAAGGAAACCACCAACCACGGTCACTGTAGAGGCTGCTACCTCTCTGAGAACACAGTGTCAGAAGCTCAGGATCTCTCCTCTGGTGGGGCCACTTGAAGGGCTGCACATCACCTGTTCCTTTGTTTTTTCTAAATAAACAGAAATAAGCTACTCTGGCTGGTGTTCAAAAACACATAACACACACACTTCCTAGCAGGCAAGTCAAGTGATGTCTTTTTTGTTGTGCATATATAGGTACACACATGCCTCTCTCCACACCCATTTCATTATTTTATTGGCAAGTACCTGGAGGTGGGTGTGTGGGGAGTACATGCGTGTTTTGTTTGCTTGCGTGATCACTGCAGAGAAATCCACATTAAACAGGGAATTGGAGACTGTGTTTCTCTAGCTGAAATCCATCTTAATTTTAGAGCAAATACTGCTACCAAAAACGCTGCCAGAGTCTGCATTGCACAACTCCAGACAGCATCTTTCACAAAACAATTATATTTTTTCTAGATGTAGTGAAAGCCTTGAAAAAAGTTTACTTGATGTCTAACCAAGCAATGCTGCATCTTCAGATTTGAAGGAGAGCTCAGAAAGTTAGTTTTTTATTATTCTTCATTTAAGTATTATTTTTTAATTGCAGTGTATTAAACATAAAATCTGGTACAATCTTTAAAAATAAATAGGACCTAACTATAAATGGGCCCTGTTGTGTTTTTATCTTTGACAAGCAAGTAATTGCTTCTCAAATTTATCAGTTTGTTTATGCAAAAACCATTTACCAAGCCTAGCTCAAAAGCATCAATTTCATCATTATCATCTTATTAATTTAGCCAAGCTATAACACAGCTGATTATTCCTGAGTAATATCCTCTGCAGCACATCATGTGTGGCAAAACCATCTGTACAGTACCTATTTAATAAATAAACCCTCGGCTAAATGTCTCTGTTTATTGAGAACTAATGTTTATAGAAAATATAATGGAACTCAATAAATAACTCAGCTTCATCAACCTGCATATGAATCAGTATGAAGAACGCT